GTCCCACTGTTGGGCGCGAGCCTCCCTTCAATACGAGGGAATAAATTCCTATTCCCTGAAAAAGGGGAAGGTGCCCAAGTAACAAATGTACTTTAATAACAGCAAAATTATAACTCCAAATTCCAACATAAGGTTTTTAAGTAACCAATAAGAACTAGATGGAAGCCGGACTCGCGCTAGTGGATAAACCAGCCCCCCCCCCCCCAACGTGCGTTCACTTTGTCGTGGTGGGAGGGGCTTATTAGCGTCCGGCAATCCAGCCGGGCGCGAAGCCAAGATACGCACCGGGAGGCGGCTCTCCTCGGTGAGCGGTGTACCATACGGGTTGCTCCTTGTACTTCTCTGACAGCAGGGTAGACCGTTGGGGCAATCCCATGGCTGTTGTGGTCTGCTTCGGCAGACCTGCCGTCGGAGCGACGTGGTTGAGTGCGTAAGTGATCATGCGACGCCCGTTAAGACGGGGGAGGTTATGTTCGGTTTTAGTGGGTAGTACTGGTTTTTCGAGCCGGTGAGTCCCACATGACCACCTGTATGTATACAGATGGTATGTGTAGATTCATTTCCCAACATTAAAAGAACGGGTTAAACCAGTAATACAAGGTCCTACGTTATTTGTAACAAATAGTGAATCCGTTGGGATTTCTCACCGTCAATATAGGCAGAAACTAAAACAACAATTTCCATATTTATATATCACTTGCTTAAATAATTACGAACTTTGATAGAATCTTACATTATTTATTTTATTTAAGAGATTCCTTTAGGAAAACCCTTCCTCCGTTAGTTCTTTTCAAGAATTATTGTATGACATTCATCTTGTGCTACATACTATGTATATTTACCAAAAATTATGTTTTTTATATAAATGCGTCATCATAATATAGAGTACATCATCAAATACGTCATTTTAATACAGAGTTAGTGTAGATGTAGAAAGTACGTGACAAAGCCTCTGCTCGAAATGTCGCTAATGAAAAGAGCCAACAATATATATATATATATATATATATATATATATATATATATATATATATATATATATAATAAATAAAAATATTCTTCTAAATATACGTAATACGTATAACGTACCTAAACGAATCTCTTAAATAAAATAATTAATGTAAGATTCTATCAAAGTTCATTACTTTCATAGTTTATATAAGAATTTGCTTCAACGTGAAGCACCTTGAGAAATTATATTAAATATTAACAAGCATTAAATGTGACTTCCTATTGTAAATACAGCGCGTACAATCACACTATGAATGCAAAAGTTTGTATGTGTGTATATTAAAACATACACACATACAAACATACACACACATTTACAACATTTCTTATCGCTAAAACGGTTGGACAAATTCGGATAAAATTTAATAAACAGATAGATTATGATTAGATATAAAGGTCATCTATTCTGTTTTTAACCCCCGACGCAAAAAGAGGCGTGTTATTAGTTTAATGTTTATATCTATCTGTCTGTCTGTGGCATCGTAGCATCCAAACAAACGGATGAATCGATTTCAATTTAGTTTTTTTCGTTTGAAAGGTGGCTTGATTTTAAGAGTTTTAGCTATAATTCAAGGAGATCCTTTCAGCCGTTTGCAGACTAAGGGCTCTTTTCTAGACGATAAAAGGATATGAGCAACTTCCAAAGCTCTAATCCATTTAAAACTTGATGTCTCGTTAAACCAATAATATTGCAACAATATGGTAACCTTAGCTTGATGCTGCAGCATCACCTGGAATTTGCAAAATACTCAACTTTTTACTTAAATACTACAGAGATATCGTGTTTAAGATTATTGAAATAGCCTTAATGAATATTGAATAGGTAATCGTGTCGGGGTTTTTTTTTTAATTTTTAATTTAATGTCTTGTTTTTCTTGCGAAGCAAGACTAACGAACTAAAAGTTTTATTTTTCTAGATACTAGATTCTCGCTTATATATAAGTTTTATAACAATTGTTGTTCTTTGAGTACAGCTAATATTAGTTTATGTTTATTCCCACTACTAAAAGCTTCTAAAGATGCATGGAAAATACTCAGGGTTAAACACTGTATACGTTTACTTACGGACTGCCTCGGTGGTGTAGTGGCTAGCATTACGGCTGCACACTCGGAGGTCCTGGGTTCGAGTCCCGGGTCGGGCCAAGTTTAGTTCTTGAGTCTTTCTGTATAGTAAGTCTTGGTAACAGCCCGGAGTTGGGAAGTTGGCGGTGTTTCACCCCCGTGCCTCGGAGAGCACGTAAAGCCGTCGGTCCTATGGCTTAACTCTCACCGGTCGTGTCGAACAGTCGTCCCACCGGAGTATGAGAGTGACAGGTATAGACAGTGCACTTGTGTTTACGCGTACACTTGTGCACTATAATATCTCCTGCGCAGTTGGCTAGTCTCAATGAGATTGGCCGCCGTGGCCGGCTATCGGCTCATCATCATCACGTTTACTTTCAAACCTCATATCAATCAATATATACTGACTATCAAAATATGTACTAACAAAATATTATTTTTTATTACAACTTTCGGAATGCGAAAACTTTTAAACATTACTTATGTAATTTCGTTATCGAAAGCGTATAACAAATGCTAAACTTATGTAAAAATTATTGTGAAAAGTAAGACGTATACAATATGGCTGTGTTTTTTTTTTGCAAATCGTCATAAAAATAATTTATTATTATTGTATTGTATTGTATCAACTGTTTGGTATCCATTACACAAGCCTCGTAACCATGGAACTAGATGGTCCCTTATGTTAATGTTACAACATATTTATTTATATTTAACTTTAGAAACAGTCTCTTAAAGGAAACATAAAAACTTTTTAACAAAAAAATAAAAACCGACTTCAAACAAAAGCACTAAAAAGTAAAAAATAACTGATTGGTAGTTTTCATTTACTATACATACCTAATCAAATATTTTCGAAGTCAGTGTGCTATGTGTATTTTTTTAGTGTAAAAAATAAAATATATCACAACACTTCTTTTTTTAAATAATTAATACTACATTTTGAAAGTATTAAATGATTTTTATATTCTAAAATAAATTATTAAGATTTATCTTGCTTAAATCCACATTAAAAATTATGAAATACATAGTTAATTATTTTCATCTCTATAACTTTATTTTTTAACCGACAAAAAAAAGGAGGTTTTCAATTCGACAAGTATTTTTTTTTGTTTGACCACGCATAACTATTTACAGTGTAGTCCGATTACGATGATGCTTTTTTTATTGGATAGGTATATCTCAAAGTCTCATTTAAATTCGATAAAGTTAAGTGTAGCTAAGTGTAGAAAATAGGAGATAATTCATTTTTCACGTATTTAATTTTTAAAATACTTTCTTCTTACTTTTTTACTACTATATCTACATTAAAAATGGAGAAATAAAAACTTAAAAAATTATAAAAACCGTCATCAAAAAAAAGCACTAAAAAGTAAAAAAAAACATTGATTGGAACTTTTCATTTACTATAGATACCTAATTAGATATTTTAGAATTCTGTGCGCTTTTAAATAACTTCTTTTTGAAGTTAGTTAAAAATGTATAAATAAACCTTATCTCTGTATTACTTACGCCATCTAGCTAGCCATCGCTTATAACAAAAACAATATGGCGTCGTAGTTTAACAAATATATAATAGAGGTCGCTTTCAATAAAAAAAGCAATCACATATATACCAATAGATGGCACTGTTGTATTCAAAGCTTATAATACGATACTAAAAACATCGTAAAGTTGTTGACACACTTAACCGCAGAATTAATCCATTTCCGTACAAATATTTTTTTTGTATGAGTCATACATATTTTTTATAGCCAGCTTAGAATGAGAATGGAAAAAGCTAGACATAAACAAGTAGATATAGGTATATTTTGTCCATTATTTTACTACTATATAAATGCGCAACTTAGGATGAATGGATGTTTGTTACTCAATCACGCTAGAACGGCTGAACAGATCTGGATGAAGTTTGACACAGAGATAGATTATAGTCTGGAATAACATATGGGCTACTTTTTATCCCGGAAAAATGTACGGTTGGAAAGATTTATTTTTATTTTTCAAAGAGATCGACTATCTATTCCATACTAACGGCTTAAACGAACCCTAGCGAAGCGACGGTGAGTCGCTAGTAGACATATATTTTGTATATGCCAAGTAAAATCTACATTTTAAATAACTATTTAGTAAAACTTTTATACAACTTTGACAAGAGTGAATAAAGTCTGAAATCGCACTTGAATCTATCCATGTAGGTTACTAGTCTCATCAAGTAGAGCCCACGAGAAAGCTTTTACATCATCTCATTACATCACAAGTTATGCACAGTGACTTATCAATGGTCATATCTATTTAGTATGCTTTATTACTACCGGAATATATACTTATATAAATAAAATACACTAAAGCTGTCCGTATTTGCTTTCAATAGGTATGTTAAAGAGCAAACGTTAAGAGCACTGTCTTTCAGAACTGCCTTCCAAGCTGGTGGCTCCACAGAGTTATAATCAAATCAAAAGTCTATTTTAATGTATTATATTTATATTTTGATACCTAGTCCATATTAAGTTTTTAAAGCTGTTTAAAAGATATCTTAACACTTATTAAAAATGCTATATATCTGTATTTACCCGTATCTATTAAAGTTATTAAAATAGAACTTTATCTAGCAAATAAGAGGATAAAAGCAAAATGAAATAAAATAGTTTATATATCCAAGAAAGGAAATAGTTTCCATGAAATACAAAAGTTTCTTGGCTTGAAAGAATTTTATTCAACTTTCTCAATATCCTTTGGGAAAAAGTAAAGTTCGTCCCAAGAAACAGGAGTTATGTAGAAAAGAATAATGTGGGATGGGATTCGATTTAAAATCACAACCCTAATCCTAATATTCTGTTATATATATGTTACCTATATTAGTTAGACTTGTTAAAAAAGAAAATAACTAAAATTTGAGATATTTTTTCGTAGTTACAGTAGTCACTTACCCGGTCGTCCAGCTGAACATCTGTTTGAGCCTCTCCGGCCGGTATTCTTTTTCCGCCATTTGTCTGAAACAATCAATTATCTGTATGAATTATCAATTATTGTTGTAGGTTATTATTTATTTTTGTTAGAACCGAAAATTTAAATATTAAGCAGGTTTCCCATAAAAAGGAAGGCGCTTGTTCAGTTTTTATTCTACTGTAGCGTAAAATAATAATACTTAATAATAGTACTTCGTTAACATTATTATCAAAGTTGGTGTGATTCTTGCTAAAACCACAGATGATATATAATATTATACCTAAAGCAAAAGCCAGTAGAGGTTATAATCGCTATTAAATTTAGTTTTTAAAGAATAATACTTGCTCTTTATTTTTGCTTATTATTGTATAAACATTTGGAGTTTTAACAAAATTTAATGTTATCTGAACAAAATGCAGTAATACTGAACGTATGAACTCAATGCCTGCTCAATGCAACCTCAATGAGCCTTTTGGTGTTCTAGTTGCTAGCATGTACGACTGCATATCCGGAGGTCGTGGTTTCGAGTCCCGGGTTGGGTCAAGTTTAGTTATTGTCTTTCTGTTTAGAAAGTCTAAGTAACAGGCCAGAGATGGGAAGAGAGAGCTCGTACTACCGTCGGTCCTGCACCTGATCTCATACTGATGGTGACCTATTATTGTCCCACGGCAGTATGAGAGTTACAGGAATAGAGAGTATACTTTGTGTCTGCGTATACACTTGTGCTATGTAATATACCCTGCGGTGTAGGCTAGTCTTACAATTACATTTGCTGCCCTGTCCGCAATTGGTCAGACATCGTGGTCTCAATATCTAAGTTTAATCTAGTATTTAGTATTGATCATCGCATAACTGGAAAAAAAATGTCTTATACCTAGGGTTGTTAGGAGATAGACGAAAACACTTATCCAGATTCATTTTAACCTCTTCAAATTTTAACCTGGTATATATGACGTAATACAATTTTTTATGCTTACAACGTAAAGATGAAATAGGTATTGAGATCGTATAATAGAGATATTCAGAAAAAACTATCGAAGTTCCCACGCGACAATGCGGCCATTTGCATTGAGCTACCTTCATTTGTTTTGACTCACAGAAGAAAAATCAAGGTTACACATTAACACATTAACTTACAAGCTGCATCTTCAAGTACGGGAGTTATTTATGTACAGACTACAGATTACCTTCATTTTGAATTAAAAGATTTTAAATTGTCGTATTATCTATACATATAATAAAATTGTAACTAAGTCGAATCTATACATTAAATATTTTTTGGAAAATCTTATTGAAATAGACATTATTATCGATGCAGAGTCCGAATCTATAGTTTTTAGAATTTTTGTCTGTCTGTCTGTCTGTCTGTTATCGCATCACGAGAAAATCACTGGACAGATTTTGATGAAATATGGTATGATGATAGCTGGTTATCTGGGTCAACATATAGGATACTTTTTACCGCGAGAAAATATCTCTTTTCTGAGAAAAAATACAAAAACTGCATTGTAAGACTATACTAATATGTAAAACCTAAGAATTTGGTTTTTGGTCATCTGAACGCGTGCGTAGCCGCGGGCAATGCTAGTTTATAATAATGCTCTAGTTATTGCAGATTTCCGCGTACTTTTGTTTTGTAGCTTTCTTTTACTATATATTTTATTATTTTTTCTTAAAAACCAAACTATTGTGAACATTTAATCGAATTAGTGCAAAAAACAAATGATCCCCAAAAGTAGGCAGTGCGTTCGTAAATTCCGTAATTGTATTGATCATTAAGAAATCAGCTATTAGACAACGAGTTGTTACTGCGTATCTTTAGATGATGCTGTTTACATTTTATGAGTTTTTTACAACTAATAAAAAGGTTGAAGTTATTGAGATATTTCTTATACAAAATGAAAAAATAAATGGTATATTTTACATACTTTATTAAGGGCGCACCGAGGCAATTACTAAATAATTGCATTCGTTTGATCCCTTGCTGTATTGTTACTACTAAAATTTTAATTATGCAATCAATATGTAGGATGTTTAAGCATTTATTCTAAAAATCGTGTACTTTTGAAACACGATTACTTGTAGTTTCCTCGATAGAAAAAAAATCCAAAAAAGATCTCTAAAAAACAAAATAAACTCTTAGTGTGGCGTAAATAATTCAAGGAAGTTCATCAGCTATTTAATAATAACCGTCTTTTTAGCAAACAAAAATAGCCCTAACTATGACTGTCCAATTTCGTTATGTGGGTTGGGTATGGGGATATAGGTAGTAGTACTAGTTTTCTACTAGTAGGTACCTACATATATATATATATATATATATATATATATATATATATATACCTATTGTGTTCTTCTGTGGTCACAGACGTCTTTCATCCCATTAGATGATAATAGACTTGCGTAATTATCTGTTGATTGTTAGTTTAACAACTCACCTAACTTGATGCTGCAAAGTTAGAGATTATTAAATATTGCCTTTAATTAAATTTCTTTGTTATAAAACTGACATCAAACTAAAGATAGATCTATCAGTAAGTATATCTTCAAGTACACTTCTGCATGTGCAAGTACACTTCGCTCAGGTGATAAGAGTGTTATTTCTTGCAAATCTATAAAAATAACATTAATTATGAAATTTTACCATTTATACTCCAATTTCCAGAAAGCATAATTAGCTAGAAACAGAAGGATGAATATATTTTTTCAATGCCACATCGCAATCGGAAACTGATGATAAAGCGTGGTTTAAAAACACAAACAAACGTGTTGCACAAATCATGTACACATTGTAACAATGAATGCTGTGTATTGTAACCGATTATTAAAGTGATTAGGAAAATAAAGCCTCCACTACACTGCACTGTGCAAATTGGAAATTTACTCTATACATTATCAGATTTAAGTGTTCGCCCTAGTTAACTATTCATACATACGAATGTAGGTATAATAAAATTATATTATGACGGTCAAAGTTTGCTATTCATTTTTATTCACTACTAGCGACTCACCCTCGCTTCCTTCGGGTACGTCCCTAGGTTGATTCCCCATACAAACATTCATCCCCATTTTCACCCCCATAAGGGATGATTTCCGGGATTAAAAGTATCCTATGTCCTTTCCAGGGTCTTAAATTATATTCTTACCAAATTTCATCTAAATCCGTTCAGTAGATCAAGAGACACCCCGTACAACCTCACAAACTCACAAACTTTACCTCTTTATAATTTAATATTATAAATAAATACAGACTAGCGACTCACCCTCGCTCCGCTTTAGTCGCTGGTGAGTCGCTAATGTTAAATATTTTTAAGGAAGATAATTTTAAAGGATGACATGTGAAAGCTCTGAACGCGTTGAAATCTATTAGTATTGTTTAACAAACATAGCAACCCGTTATCAGAGTTGATAAAGCTAGCGCTCCGAATTGGACATTGTTTCCTATTTCAGGAATATTTTTAGATTAGCATGAACTACAGATGCCAGAATACACATACAAATTTGTTCTAAATACATGAGAATCACAAATACAAATTTTATTATATAAAATAAGTAATGTAAGAGTTGAATTATAAAACTGATAAGACGGGAACAAGTTAACAAAGTAATATAATACATATATAATAGTATTAACTACATATTATTAACTTGTTCACATCTTTTTAGCTGATTTTTTACGCAGTCGGGTTCTTTAATCTTATTAATTTTGATTATTAAAGTTTTTATTTTGCTTCTTAGTTCTATGCCGTTAGATATGTGAAATTTTATTTAACCATTTTTTGTCCTAAATTTGTTTTAATCATATTATAAATTGTATATATTTTTGTGATCTTCTCTTAAAAACTTATATTTCTCTAACTCGATAGGTTTGAAACATTTTTTAAGACAAATTCGCGCCCCAGATCACCCTTTTTGATTTTTGATAATATCAAAATCGGTTATGCCGTTTGTAAGGAATTGCATAGGATTGGACATTGGATATGTACAATTGTACAATATACATACATACAGGTCAAACACATAACCTTTCTTTGGGCTTCGCCGCAGTTAGGTAAAAATATATTTAGATAATTAGAAAACTCATAATCTACTAGTATGTAGAATAAATACCTATATTAAGGGGTCATTTTTCAATCATCATTAAAACTACATCTTTAATAAAACTAGTTCATTTCATTGATTTCAAGCTAATATCTTAACATTCGTGTTCAAGGTAAAATCAATAATTTACATTGATTTATAATAAAACCATAGTTTAAAATGGTAAAAATAATTTCATATCATTTATATCGTAAATACGTCGGTCGTCGGGGGGGGGTCTGGGGGCACTAATTGAAACTAAATGAAATACTTAGATAGGTAAGCAAAACAGATTATAACCGATTATAAATATATTTAATATTGGCGCCTCCTCTTGTATTAAGTATGGATAACCCTCTCACTGATATGGCTAATATCAGCGAGATTGGCCACCGTGACTGAAATCGATCCGGACAACAATCCATACTAATATTATAAATGTGAAAGTGTGTTTGTTTGTTTTTTTGTTTGTTTGTTTGTTTGTTTGTTTGTTTGTCCTTCTTTCACGTCGAAACGCAGTGACTTGAATGGAGTGGCTTGATCTTTTGTGTGGAGATAGTTGGAGGGCTGGAGAGTGACATAGGCTACATTTTAGCGCGGGAAAATATCTCATTTCTGAGAAGAAACACAAAAACTGCAATGTAAGAGTATACTAATATGTAAAACCTAACAATTTGGTTTTTGGTTATCTGAACACGGGCGGAGCCGCGGGCAATGCTAGTTATATTATAAATCTATACAAAAGTTACATGTAATTGAAATTTTTGACATGGATTTTATTATAATGGGGGTACAGTATACACTCTTTAGGTATAACCTAACAAGTAAAAAAAAACATTCGCAAATTACATAAAAACACATAAATACAGCTGAATTTATTATAATATCTTACTCGTGTTTATGAAGTCGGTCAAAAATAAATAAAATATGCGTGTAGTTTCCAGTGAGCGACACCACTCG